GTCAGATTTTTTTTTTTGAAAATGATCGCAAGACTTGAAATTAGTAGTGATTTGATTTTTTGTGAAAATTACACAATAACATGGTAAGATATGGATGATGTGGAGTGGGGTGTGTCAGGCTGAAGATTACAGTGCAGCTGGTTCAGTCCATTAATATTTTGACAGTTTTTGACTTTTGACTTTCTAAAGAAACAACCACTATGAGATTGAAGGACTGACATTATGCTTTAAAACTTAAACTTTGGGTCTCCTCACATCCATATTGCACACTGTCAGAGTGTCCCAGTGTTGTATTGCAGTCCAACATACATATGATGTCAGCTCCACTGTTTATTGTACACTGGGCTCAGCATATTAAATATGTATCATTTGAGGTTATTGGTTGAATGCTTGCCATAGACATTTCTTCACTTGGGAGGCATCAGATGGGAAAACATTATAATCTAGCAGCCATCAGCACATAACTGAATTTGAAGTCACAACTGCCCTGGAGACCTCAATGATCACGTTACATGGTCAGCATTTAATGCCTCATGTTGAACTATGCACTAATTGCTGTGGACACTTATAATCAGAATTCTATTAGGATAAGTGTTTCCTTTTTGATAATTCAATAGCAGCATGATGGGTGTCATTTCACAGCTTTAGTCTGCAAGAGATATGGGGTTGTGTTACATCTCTGTTATATCAGTGGAGGAGTGTTTGCTATACTATGTAAAGGTTACGTCACTACCATAACGACAGTTTTCCACAGTGGCCACCACAGGGGAGTGGACCCTACTGAGTTGGGTTTGAGGTAGATGAGGGGATGGGAGGGGCTGAGGGTGAGGTCAAATCCGGGGGGGCTTGATTTAAAGTGCACCAGCACACACATTAGAAAACCACGCATTAGAGACCTGATGGATGTATGTGTCTATTTAACTTTCTGATCATGATTTAAAAGCTTCAAAACTGAGATACTGGCATTAGTCAGATAAGATACAGACATGCTTATAGGCTACTTAAAAGCTGTGAGCTGAGGGCTTTTTTGTTATCAGTGTATATATTCAGATAACATTGTTACTTTGTTAGTAGTTTCACGATAATGAATTACAGTTAATACATTCAAATAGTTGGGCCGCAGTATAGGATCAGTTTTCATATTCTGATTATGGAATACATCAAACAAATTGTATATCATAGTTGAGAAGGAGAGTGTGTGAGTAAGACAAGAATTGTGGGGTGAAAGGCCTTAGAAAATGTTAAAGTATGAATCGGAAAGAAAGTAGGAGAGCAAACAAGAAAAAAGCAAGAAATCAACTGAGAGAGACAGAGATGGGAGGAAACAAAGCAAACCCCATTATCACCCACTGTTCAAACTGAGATATTTAAATAGTGAAGCCCTGGGTCTCCCTGCGGATTTTGAAGTGCCTCTGTTCTTCCGCAATGGCCACAACATTTCCTGGCGGCATATTTAGTACGTTTGAAAGCACCACATCAGACACACATACAATTAGTGACAACCTCTCTGGCAGCTTTCCAAATCTTAGCAAACCATCAACGGTCTTAATGTAGGCTATAGTTGCTTATGCTGTGAGGCTGATGGAAGTGCCACTCGAAGAAAAAGGATATACACCACCACAGTTCAGTCTTTAACAAGAATAGTAGTAAGTCAGAAAAACTGTAGGTGTCTTTTCCAACTGTAACTTATAGTGAGAAAAAATATAATATATTTTTTGTTAAATGCAATCATATAAAGGAACTTCAAATTATTGATTATCTGGCAGTACATTTGCTGGTGACAAAATAACTGAGCAGCTACAATTGATTTGGGTCTCAGCTTAACTGCACCAATGAAATATAATATGGAAATGCTTATACTGAACTTACAGCTTTACAGCCAAGATTTTATTTATGGGAGGCCATAAGGACAAGCTGCAGCAATAGGCCTGGCTGTGTGCAGAATGATAAAGCATCAATAATATTTTACATTAGGATGAATTATTATTATTTTCACAACAACATTATTACAATACATTATCACTGTTACTTTTTCACAGCACGGATAAGGTAAAATATCAGGAAGCATAGCTGCAAAGTTCATGGCATTAAAAATGATTCTCATTTTCTTTGACTCTGGAGTTACGTTGTAAAGCATAAATCACAATAAAGGAACTGGGACAGTGTTTAAGCAAATAGAGTACAGTGTCGTCCAATAGATTGTAATGTTCAATACAGTTTTGTCAAGAAAGTTTAAAATGTATTATTAATTATTATATATAATTTATTATTATTCATTTCCCTGTGTGAAAGTGAAAAAAACAAACTATTTTCTCAAGTTTCAACATGCTGCTTTAGTTGCCATGGACAGGTAAGCTAGGGAAAACAAATCAAATATGTTGACCGAAACGCTTCATGTGAACATGTCCAAAAAAAAAATGTTTCCTTATTATGATGACATGTTTCTTTTGAAAAGTATTTACTGTTTCAAATGATCAGACTTAGTTGCAGCAATGTGCCACTATGGAAGTGTTTTTTTAGAGGGGGTCCTATATGTTGTTTGTATCTACAGAAGTGCATATGCATTAGATTGCATGACAATACAGGAGACACAATACTTACTGCTTTTCCATTAAACAAGTGGATGTGGTAAAGTGCTAAGAAATATAACAATGCGCCAGCAAAATGCGAGGAAGAAGATTCTACTCCCCACCAAAAACAGATGTGAAGGATATTAGATTTCAAGGATATGCACAGTATTATAGATTGGTGAGCTTCAACATCTGTCCTACATTAATGCTGCAGGATGTTAACAGCAGTAGAACTCATAAATCAGCAGTTCAGACAGCAACACTGGAATGGCTTCACCTCAGCATCAAACAGGTTAGTAGAAGTCCTAAGCAAGACAGCTGTAGGTATGTAATCTGTATCCAGGAGGCTTGAAACATAAAGTTAAATAGGAGCTCCCTGCCTTTCTTCTATTTCCTCTCTCAGTGCAAATCAAATTTTAGCGCCCCATCTTTCTGTTTCATTGAGACCAGTGGGTTTCAGGTGTCATGTTAGGCAGCTAAAAATACTTTATCTTCATTTACTGCCCACTGAGTCAGACATGTAATTGACTTGAACTGGCCCTAGCAGTGTCTTCTTTGTACATGGTCCAGGCACTAGAAGACTACAAACACACTGAAATGTTAAGAAAGCCACAGTTGAGAGAAGAGAAGAGAAGAGAAGAGAAGAGAAGAGAAGAGCATATATGTTGTACTGTAAACATTGTGTAGTTATTACTGTACTAGAATGTATTACCTAAAAACAATGACAAAAAGATGAATATATCAAATCAGAAGTGCAGAGTGGAGACAAAGTGAGACCATCTGCAAGATCCTCACACTCAGGAGTGTTGTTCACATTCCTTGTTAGCTTAGCTCAGAGAGGTCTTAAGCCTGAGGCTACAGCTCAGGCTAAGTGGGACTGCAGTTAGCCCAAGGCTTAGTTTGACTATTTCATTTAGAGCCCTGTTGAGCTGGGCTCTTTACCTGCCCTGCCCCTGCAACAAGGTACAGGTTTCACCTGAAAATTATGTCCAGATGTAATGATTTTTCAAATCAAACTATCATTTTAAACATTTTAAATAATTTAAATCAAACTATCATTTTAAACATATCTGAAAACTGTAAACTAATCATTTTTGAAGCTTTATTCATAATCAACATAAATGCTAAATGTTTATACTGAACTCCTCTACAGCCTGATTGAGGTGTTAAAGGTACAATCCAGCAATTTAGTGTTGCTCCTACGTAAGGTTGTAAATGTAAAGGTGACATAAAAGAGAAAAAAAAATGTGAAAATTGAAACAGCAGATGTCAACATAAGCTGACATTCAAGTCCCTTGTAAAGGTCAAGCTCCAAAAATGCTAGACCCTTCCCATTAAGCTTTTTGTTAAGTCCTCCATAACTGGTAAATGCAAATATTTTTCAAACTTAAAACAACAAGGTTTGTAACACAGAGCCACAGAAGACATTATACAACTGTTGTCAGAGCAATATGGTTTTTGCTAAATACATGACTTCCTCTTCTAAGCTTTTTGCAGCCCTATATGAGCATTGCTATTTCCTGCACTGGAAATAATTGTGCCCAAGTGTAAAAGAGGTTGGTGAATTAGTATGGTTGTTATGTGTGGCTGAGTGACTGCTAATAATAAATTAATTTAACAAAACAAACAAATTAAGGAATGGGAGTTTTGGTATAGAATTGTTCAGGATTTTTTTGGTCTGAAATGGTTAAAATTGTTCTGGCGACTGATCTGGACTTTGGAGGCTGATGTCCTCTGATGATTTCCTCTAATGATATATTATGCAGTTCTCACTTTTCTAGAAAGTGCTGCAAAATCGACATGTGCACATACAACAACACTCACACATTCAGAACGTGCAGACGTGGAGACAATTAAAAGTGTAGTTTCAGCTCTTAGATTCCTGTCTCTGAAAACAAAACAAATGTACATTTGCACAACTTTGTTTGACCAATAAATGACTCATAGTTTCACCGTGGGACCTTTTCTTTTTTCCGTTTTTTCTTTTTTGCAAATATCAAAACACTCCTTGATTTCTCATACAGTACTTTCATTGCTCATCGTCCTACAACTCAGGCCTGTCTTATAAGAGCTGACTTTGTGACAACCCTTGCAGCAGATACTCAGCCACACTGCGCTTTATACTTATTGATTACGTCAATTAACCTTACCACCACACCCCACCTCTCTTCTCACATTATTTTATAATCACAAATATTTTTATCTGTGCTTAATCATTAGACACAGACAGTGAACAGGGAACAGCCCTGCATCACACACCAGCTGCATTTCCTGGACCTGGCTGCTAAGTTGCACTGGTGTGGTGGGAGTGGTGAAAACTGGAGTTTGTGTACTTTGCTCCTCCCATGTCTCCTCCTTCTCTCACTCTCTGTTTTGTTGGGGTACACCACTCCTGTTCCTGTGGACCAATCACTCTTTAGATATCTCACACTCACCACACACATCTTTGTGCGCTCTCTCTCTCAGTTGCTTTGCTGCTCCCCTGTTTCCTGCTGTGTTTCTTCATCCCTTCTTCAGAGTCATCTCACTCCCACTCCCAACTAGGAACTACAAACCAGCTCTTTACGGTAAGAAACAAACAGATCTCCTCTTTCTTCTTTCTCCATGTGCATTTATTTACCTGTTAACAAAACATGTATCTGCTATAAATAAAAACGCCCTCATGCACAAGGGGTTAATTCATACAGGTAAGCCTGCTTAATTATGTAACCTTGCATGTTCTAATCTGATCTGTTGGGGTGTGTTATTGTTCAACTGTTTTTACTTCATTTCCCAACCTCATAAGGACCAGTCCCTACAAGCAGAAACAACAACATGTGTCATTATGTATGAGTTTTTTTATTCCCACATGGCTGTCTTTCACACTGGGTATTGTCAGTGATGAATCTTGAATGCAATTTTTCTGAAGAGCACCACTCATTTTTATCACCTAGTTCACTTCCCTTTACTCTGAGTGTCTCCACATTTTACCAATTTGTTATGTATTGTAAATTAGTACAATAAAGTTTATTGAAGCGTAAAACATAATTGAGAGAAATCACTGATTAAAAAAAAAAACATGAGAAAGGCGTAAAACCACAAGTTACATTAATGGGAGAAACTGACGATTTAGTTGTAGTAATGCACACATTGTCCACAAACTGAATTTCAATACCTGAGAGTAATTTCTTGAAATAATTGGTTTCTAATCATGGGGAGCTGCAGAAAGTCACTGACATCGCGCCAGTATCCTGGAGCCAGCAGGACAACACTGATGTTATGGTATATGACTAACCACCAACCGCCCTGCAAAGCCAGAGATCAATGAGCTCATGTTACTGTGTGCTGTTAGAGAGGTTTTTCTTCATCCTGAAATGGACAATGTGGAAAATAATCAAAGAGTATGGCTATAAAGAAAAATTACCCATACTGAAAAACCTAGAAGGTCAACTATGTCACATGCATGAAAGTGAAGTGTTCAGCAGAGGGAAAGCAGCATCTGCCCCAGACATTAGACATGTTGTGTCACCTGGTTCTAATCATACCTTGTCTAACCACTTCAACGCGCTTGTTTCTCACTGATGTTGCTGTGGAAACTTTAAATGCTGTAATTTAAAACAATAACAAACATTGTCAATGAGGTGTTTTCACAGTATGCTGATAATGCAGAAGTCCAATATTTATTTTGGGATATTACGGCTTAAAATGAAATTTAGAGAAATGTTGAAAACATGAGCTGTAGAGAGAGATAGATGATTGTGTTGCTCCTTACTTTAACAATTCTTTGATAGTGTGATAATCACATCCATAACAAGGCTGACACAGCAATATCTAATAGCTCTAGACAGAGACAAGGTTGTAATTTCAATGTCGCAACCATGATGACCAATTGCTAAAAAAAACAGCATGATGTAGCAAGAGGTTTAGGTAAAGGATGGTTGAATAATATTCATTGCTGTTTTATTTTTAAGACTCATTTATTTTTCCATGACTCAGTAAAGAAAACTATGCAACTTCCACCTTACTATTTTTACTAGAATGTATTCAGTCCTTACTATTACATAACATGACATTGCTAAGCTTAGTTGTAGCTTTAAATATAGATAATCTTCACATAGTACGCATACCAACTTGCACAGTTGAAGATGGCATAAATAGCATGCAAGGAAAAAAGAATAAATAAAAAAAAGTGAGTAGCAGTGAGTAGTGGGTTTGTGTTCAATAACAAAGAGATGCATTTCGTGTTACAGATTGTGTTGTGACCTGTAACTGCAGCCAGTCTGTGTGAACACATGAGAAAAGCATGTGAGAGGCCAGAGGAACAACAGTCTTGCATAAGAGAAATCTTGGTTTTTTTCAACCCATATATGTGTACATTTTCTTCATCAAGGCACACATGGTGGATCTGGCATGACGCACTGTTTACTGCAGTTGAATATAAACTTGAAACTCAAACAGAGCAGTTTCTAGCATGAATATGATCAAAGTTTGACTGAAGGAATCTTTCTCTGTGGTGATTATTTGTCCTTGGCCTGAGGCTTAAAGTTTGTTTGTTCTAGATTTTAATGTAAGTACTGAATTTCTGGCTGCTTCTTCACAGCCATTAGAAAGAGTTAAACACACAACATGTGAAAAACTTCAATTGCAGGTTTTGCCTGTCCACTAGGGTTTGAACAATATTGAAATCTAGCAGCAATTTTATGTCCAGTGTTATATATCTCAATGCCATTTCACTCTAAACAAGTTCTGTCAATCATTGTTGTGTCTTATATTAGAGGGATACATAATTCATCCGGTATGGCTATCATTCATGCTGCACCTGCAGTTTAAGTTCATATAAATAACTCAACCAATATCGTTGAGAGAGCTGTTTGTCTGTTTCATGTACTATTATTTCTCATCATCACTTTCACAGCCACATCATCACTTTGAGAGCTGAGATGGTTTTAGTGAGAACCATGCTCCTTTTTTTTTCATTTCTTGCCAACAGGAAATGGCATCGAAGCGGCAAGTGGGCTACAAGTGTTGCATAGCAGGAGTGGTGCTCCTGCTGTTGACCAGTATTGCCGCCCTTATTGCTGTTGCTGTCATCCAAGACACCTGGAGTTTTAAAGAGTACACATTAGAGGTGAGCACACACATGCACATACACAAATGTCCACAGATGCACACATATTCTTATAGAAACGTACCCTTTGACTGCAGATTTTCAAACAAAAGTTACACACATCCATATACAGAGAGTGTGACATAGGCTGGTATACAAGCATATACTTTAGCCAACACCCACTTAGTTGTAAATATGACTCTGTTACCAGATATTATCCAGATGTCAGGGTCAAGGACAGAAGTTTCCACGTGTTAGCTTAGTGACAGATGGTGGTCTTGAGAGAGAATGTGGGGCTTTTTTTTAAAGGGGTGCTGGAGGGGTGGTGGTGGGCGGGTGGGTGTAACAGCAACCGCTCTGTAGTTTAATGCAGTCTTTATTGTCTCGGCTCTTTGTCAGATTAACAACATCAAAAAAATGAGAAATGTTACCTTGTGATGTTACTTTTTTCTGTCTTCTCCTCCTCAGTACGGCATAGTGATAGACTCGGGTTCATCTCGCTCCAATGTGTACCTGTACGCGTGGCCCGGGGAGAAGGAGAATGAAACAGGAGTAGTGACTGAGATAAAGAACTGTAGAGTTTCTGGTGAGTCATTGTCTCTACAACGAGAAGAGCACATTGTGGCTTTTGCACGTAAAACATGTACATCAGTAATCTTTCTATTACTGAGTTAAAAAAAAGAGTGAAAAGATTATTAAAATGAAAGGACACGAATAAATTTGAGTACAGGATGCAATAAAGAGAAAAATGAAAGCTGGGAGCTTATGATCATTTTGAAATGAGACGTAAGTCCATCAGCATTTAAGTTAAAAATGTTAGAAATTCATTTGCCCAGGGTTTTTACTTTTGTTTTCGTGGCCTTTACTTATGAATAGGATTTTAGCTTGGCCTTGTGCCCACAGGTGATGGAATCTCAGAGATGAAAGTTGACCCAGAGAAAGATGCTAAGTCATTGAAAGCATTCAGTGATTGCATGGGTGAAGTCATGAAAGCCATTCCTGCTGCAAAACACAACACCACACCCCTCTTTCTAGGAGCTACAGCTGGAATGAGACTGCTACGGTAAGAAAGTGTCAAAATAACTGATAGCTTTAGGATATTCCCTCACTGTTACTGAGGCTATTGGAGAATGGCAGGAAGGATCAGAGCAATTTAATCTCGCATGTTTTTTCCCGAAGCCTACTGAGCAGTAAAAATATGTTCACACTACATGGTGGGGCAAAGATAGTGTAACAGCCATGCTGGGAAGTTCTTCTCACAGCAGTGTATATGTGCATGAGATGATTACTGAGCTATGAAGGTCATAAAATCCATGCCAATTGTCCAAGGGCTGATTTGATGCTTCACTCTGCACAGTGCTGTGGTCACTACTTGTACTGACTTGCCCGCACTGAATAGATAAAAGGTTGAGCACAGGGAAACATTCAGTAGGTTTGTTTTTGGTTTTTGTTTTGCTTGCTTCAGTTTCATAGAAATCAGTCTAAAAATCCAGTCAAAATACTCCACATTTTAGATTTGAGTAAATCCATTGTTTCAATTCTCGGGATGTTACAACTGAGGTTGTTGTTATAGACATTTTGGGAAATGTGCTTATTCCCTTTTTTGCCTTGAGTTAGATGAGACGATTGATATTACTCCAGTGAGTGTATGGTAAATATGAAGACAAGCCAGAGACGATTAGCTTAGCTTAGCATAGAGACTGGGAGCCGGGCACAACTAGTCTGGCTCTGTCCAAAGATATAATGATTTCTCAAAGATAACCTCACAGTGACAATACCCTGGTTTTGAATGTATTAAACAAACAATGATATATTGTGTTAATTACTCAGCTTTAAAGTTACTGATAGGCTAAGATTTACCTTTGGACAGAGCCAGGCTGGCTCCTTCTCCTTGTTTTCAGACTACATGCTAACTGTCTGGCTTCATCTTAACATTTAGTGAAAATACATGAAATTGGTATCTCATCATCTAGCACTTGACAAGAAAGCAAATGTGTGTTTTTCCAAATGTCAGACTTGTCCCTTAATGATACTGTTTCCATTTTTGAATGTTATTCTGTTTCTTTTTTGCCCTAAGTGAGAGGGATGAACAGAGGTCCAATGAAATCCTGGCTAGTCTCAGAGAGTACCTGATTTCTTTTCCCTTCGCCTTCCAAAATGCCTCCATCATCACTGGTCAAGAAGAAGGCCTATATGGGTGGATCACTGTCAACTACCTCATGGGAAACTTCTTCGAGGTAAGACAATGGCATTGATCTATCTGATCCATCTGCTACACAAGCACACATGTTTGTCATATACTGTTTCATCATAACCTTTACCATTATACTTGCAGAAAAACCTGTGGAACACCTATGCACGGCCAGAAGGGGGAAAGACAGTAGGATCCATGGACCTTGGTGGGGCATCGACCCAGATTGCCTTCGTAGTCGATGATGATCTCAGAGGACCAGACTACATGCATATCAAACTATACGGTTACCCATACAATGTCTACACACACAGTTTCCTCTGCTATGGCAAAAATGAGGCTGAGAAGAGGATTCTGGACAAAATTGTTCGGGTACACAGTGTGTGTGTGTGTGTGTGTGTGTGTGTGTGTGTGTGTGTGTAGAAGAAATTGATTGAAGGTCAAACCTTTAAAAGGGTTGTGTTTCTTTCCTGTTTCCTATGTGTTTTTACGTTTATGTTTTAATGCGTGTGGCAGAGGGGATGTGTACTTTGTTTTGCTTACATGTGTAAGTCAAACTCCATTAAGGCCAAGTAAAGAATTGATTGATGAACAGTGCTGTTCCCTGAGCTGCTAACAGGGAGGAGGGAGACCAGTCAAAGATGCATTATGTCATTAAAAATATTGATTGAACTGTTAATGTCGTCAAGTTAGTCTGCGAGAAATGCATTATTTCTGGTTGCTTATAGCTTCATTCTTGAGACTAATAGTATTTGTAGAAGGAGAAATATGCCATGCTGTGAGAATATGTAATAAATTTGCAACAGTGTCCTGGTATCAAATGTTAACTTTAAAGTTTATAATTACATCAGGACCTGTATGTGATACTAAACACACTGTATAGATGATGTGTCTGTAAATGTGTATCTCCTCTTATCTCTTCCTGTCCACCTCTTTCTTGTAGTTTTAATTTCCTCATCTTCCACTCCTTCTTTTGATATTTTCTTCCTCCTCTCCATGTTTCAGGAATCATCTAACCCAACCTACATTATGAACCCCTGCTACGCTGAAGGATACAACATCACATATAACGCCTCATTTATTTATGACACAGAGTGCACAAAGAAACCAAAAAACTACAACCCAACTCAAGAAATCTTCATGGTGGGAGCCCCTGACTCAAACAAGTGTGGGAGCATAGTGAAGTCCATATTTGATTTCAAGACCTGTTCTTCATCCCACTGTTCTTTCGACGGGGTCGAGCAGCCACCAGTCACTGGAGAGTTTATGGTAACACACAATGCAAATATAACACATGAAAGTGAAATCAAAACAACTTACTCTGTGTGTCTGCTGTTCCTCCCAGGCATATGCTGGATTCTTCTACACTGCTAGGGCTCTGGGGATTAACGGTTCATCGGATCTTGATCAATTCAACTCCTCAGTGAGCAAATTCTGCCACACACATTGGACAGTGGTAAGTTCTTCAAACTGGTATACAACAATAGTAATAAGAAATGAATGCTGGAAGGAAGCTCCCATATCTGGAGCATCTGAACCTGGGCTTTTACGAACCTTTTCTTAACAGACAGACACTTTTGTTTGGAGGCGTTCTCTTGTCTGTATTCTCTCCCACCTTCTCAGTAGGGGAGGTTAGGGCTCAACGGAAACCCTTGTCTCTGACTGTGCACAGCTTTCTCCGTCAGCACTGACTCTACTGTCAGTTCCTGTCGGATCCTAATGGTGACGCCAAAATTTTGGTGGCAATTCTTTTTAAGTAAAGACTCAAACCAGAACATATCTTTCTGAGTTTCACTCTCATGCTTGCAAGTGGGCACGAAACTTATTACAGATACTGTGACAGGCTGAGAGCCACTTCCTTTTCTTGTTTTGTTCTGGGGTTTTTTTCATGCTTTTATTGGACAGTGACAGATGAAAGATGGGAAATGCAGGGAGAGAGAGTAGGGGAATGACATGCAACAAAGGGAGTCGAACCGAGTACTTTTGTGCCAACATGCTATCAGGTCGCCCCGAGCCACTTCCTCTTTCCTCAAGCTTGGTTTTTATAGATGAAGAGAAAACAAATGTGGCACGCTCTTGCCCACAGTTATCCTATCTGTCACACAGTTTCATAACACAGCACTTTAAATGTTGATTATAGCATTTTAACTGCTGATCATTATATTTTTGGCATCACCGGGGCCAGCCCCATAAACACGAATGTCCATGACTGACTGACTGACTGAGTGATGAAGTCAGACCACTGGTCAGCCAAATGCTGCACGACTGGGTGATAAGGTTACATCACTGGTCGGTCGGCCGGCCGAGAGTTTGCCATTGGTCAATTCTTTCAGAATGATTTGCTGCGAACAAGCAACATATTTGTCGCTACATAAACCAAGTTTTCAGTCCCTTTAGCAACTTTTTTTTTTTCAAAGAAGCACCCAGCAACAAATCTAATGACTTTTTAGACAAAGCTTTGCTAATTTCTGTAGAAGAGAGTTGTCAGTATTTCCCTTTCCTTCCACAGCCACACTTCTCCTTGCTGACTGCACAGTTGATGTGAATGAGCTTCTTTCTCTCTGAGAGATCATTTTACATGTAAATATAGCCAAAATCACAGCACACTCTTTGTCGACGTTGCAGTTATAAAATCAGGATTTTAGCATTGCAGAGCAGCAGCTTGGAAATGTCTTGGAAGTGACTGCTGGTTAACATGCAGTCTTAATGGGCTGCATTTCGCTCAAACTTGTTCTGTTGTCTGACACCAGAAACTGAAAAATATGCAACATGTATTAAAATATGTGCGAGCACAGGGAGGAGGAGAGCAGCGAAAAGATAAAGGGCTGAAACTGGCTGGCTAGGCAGAATGCAAATCAGAATGGTCCAGCCATACTAGGTTTTGACCAGTCTTGTTCGACTACAGCAATAAATAACAGTGAAAATCTAAGAGAAGGGAAAAGGTAGAACAGAAGAGTGACAAGGATGAGAGGGGAAAGAAAGACAGGAAGAAGAAAAAGCAGAGGGGAAGACAGCAACAAGGAAAGAAAAAAATTGACACAGAGACAGAAATGTACAAAATAGTAACTGAGAAAAACAGAATATTTTTCCTCAGGCAGCATACTTGCTTTGACACCACTGACTCAGGTGTGGCAAGCTGTCTGACCGCATTTTCATGTTTAGTGTTTCAATGCATGATGTCATAACACTTATCCAGCAGCATAAGTTCCCAAGAAAGTGGATGCATTATTATATTATTAGTTATTATACAATTTTATGATTTTAAACAAGAGAGTATTTCTGCCATGTAGTGTAAGAGTGGATATTTTCTATATCGCAGTGGCTCTTTTCAGTGTCATTTAGACACAAGTATCTAACCTCTAACTGCTTTCAACTGTTTTGTTTGAAAAAATCCTTCTAGATGGATGAAGTTGTAAGTTGAAATCAGTCTTGATTACACATTGTTTTTGTCGTGTCTTGGTCTTTCATCGTTGTCTTACAACATTGATATTTTGTCAATATCATTCATTTTCATTCACTTGAATCATTGTTTGTCCTGATCACAGGCTAAACTCGGATCTTTATTTCTCCTTCTTTCAGCTGAAGCAAGAAAAGACATGGATCTCTGACAGATACCTTAAGACCTACTGTTATGCAGCTCACTACGTCTTCTCTTTGCTGGGAGATGGATACAAGTTTGACAAAGAGACGTGGAAAAACATTAACTTTGAAAAAGAGGTTGGTTGAACAAAATGCACAACATAATTTTCACCAAGACGTCTCTGCATTCCTATATTCTTGCAACAAAATAATACTCATATTTAAAGAAGGAAAATAAAAGAACATCCATCAGAATATGTCCATCACAGGATTTTGATGTGAGTTGCTGCAGTTGAGCTGTCACCAGCAACTCACGCACAGACACAATAATTAACAGCCTTTAATGTACACAAGTGTGAATGAGGCCACCCACTGACATCTATTAAAGATGGATGGATGACACACCAATCATCTGTGCTGAAAAGCTTGAGTAAAAGCCAGACAATGTATTGCCCCGGGATACCCTGAGGGTGCGGAGCGTCTTCTACAATGGAACTCCCTCAGCAGCAGAAGGGGATTCCTGGTCTGTGACACTCATTCACTCATGAGTCATAAAGTCGCACATTGCAGCCGCAGTTTCCAAATTGCACGGCAGTTACCCTTTCGACAAGAACGTTCCTCAACAGCTGGCAATGATCCCAATTTTCAGTCCCACCAACAAGAGAGTTAGTGTGCTGTGTGTGCTATGTAATGCCTTTGGGGTGTCTGGGAGTCTCATGGCTGATCGTTGGCTGTCGTTTTTAGAGGAAGTTACTAAACAGACACACTTGGATTCTTTGCAGGGCTGTTATTTGGGGGCTATTACTCATATTTTTGCCCTGGAGCTGGAACTGTTTGACTTTTTGACAGGATTGTGTGACATTCTCAACTTCTCCACACATGCAAAGTGATGTATTAGTCGACTGATGTAAATTTCCTAGTGAGATAAACAGAAAATCTTTTCTCTTCTCCTCAGGTAAAGAAAACCAGCATAGGTTGGAGTTTGGGCTACATGCTGAGTATGTCCAACATGATCCCGTCTGAAGTGAAACAGATCTCCCCCATGACAAACGGCGTCTTTGCCGGCCTTATATTTCTATTTTCAGCACTAACCATTGTGACTTTCATTGTAGTTTTCATCATTCTCGTTCGCACCTGCTACTGAGAGTGTAAGTTACAAAGGGAATGAATGACCTGCCACTGAAAGGGGATGGTGTGATCCTATAAGGTACTGGAGAGTGCTATAGTTACGAAGTTGTGTTTTTTTTATTTTCAGCCTGAGTCATTTACTGCCTTCTATTTCAATTAAGAGACCTTCTGAAAAATTAAGAGCTTTTACATGAAAACCTCTCACTGTGTATGCATTCAGGGTCTTTGAGTCTTTGAACCAGGTTCAGAAAACACAGTTCATTTTGTACCTCAGGGAAACTCACATAGATTTAAGTCATAGGATCGTTTTCCGGGTAAAAAGGGTGCCACAGCGGTTGCCTGGATAATGCAAGAGCATCCAGACATGTCCATGTCCTTGTTCTTGTTGCACGCTGTGTAATCTGAAAACTGTTTAATCTTAAAATGAGATTCACAATTGTGTGCTCACATGCACACTTGGACCCCTCAGGCAAAAAGCATGATGTATTAACTCAATTACTATGTTTTGTCTCCTGTTTTATACATGTAATTGCACTGAATGCATTTATGTAACATACAAAAAGGTAGCACTTTGCTGCGGCTTTATTGTAGTGTTTTATACTGTGTATCTGAAACTATAACTACACAGCAAAACTCTACATTTATTGAATGAATGAAAATCTCCCTAATAAGTAATGTAATGAATGTACAATTTGCCATTGTTTTCTTATGATTTTGCAAACTAAATACATGTTACGTTAAGTCAGAAAGTTGTATACAGTCTGTTTCCAAATTTAATTTCTGAGTTTGGGACAGCAGCCAACCAGTTACAGAAAATGTGTGTGCGAAGTGTTGTTTTTTCTGACTTGGTGTTGTTGCACATCTGGGAAGGTTTTCTTCCTGTACTACTTACAGATAAGTACTGTCTGTACTGACAATTCACACATATGCAGTTTTCAGTGTAATCCATATGCAGTCCTCATGTAATATGAAATATGTCAATATGTAGCCTTTCATGAGAAATGTAATCAACAGAAACTAGTCTACTGAAATAAAGTTTGATGACAAATCCAAACAATTGGATTATTTTTTTCGTTTTTTTTTTTTTTTTGAGACCCTGAAACCTGGTGTCTAGACGGTAAAGGTGTAGGCTACAGTAACTAAAAGGGAGCCATGAATTTGACTGATTGAGCTGTGAGTTAGTCCAAAACATTTCACTGGCGGTTGATTGGCAAGTATTACAAAATATAAGTGTGTGTGTGTGCGCGCGCGAGTCATTTGCCATTCTGTATACATTCCCTCTATTTGTGGAGCATTTTCAGTGGCGTTGTTGTCTCTGCACCGGAGTGGAAGAGAGGATATGCATGATTCTCATATGATGAACTGACTGTACTGGGTCTGTTTTGATAATTCTCTCTCTATACAGTATATAATAAGCTTAATGACTAACAGTATGTTTTGTGGCATCCTAACTTACCTTACAGATGTAATGAGCTCAGCATGTTATTTAATTTAATACCAAACACTTAAACCACAGGTGGCTCCCTCTTCTAATTGAATTAGCGGAAGAGACAGTTAAGTAAAATTATGCCTGTTTGAATTTAATGCCTCTGTTTCATGTCTGTCAGCTGACCAACTGTAAAATCCTGGGTGACTTGTTAAAACTGCACACAAACAACACACACGAACACAAACAGCTTGTCAACCTTTCACTTAAACTGTACACAACAGTGCACTCTAGTGGTGCTGTCTTGTACTCGCCGAATATACAAGATGAGTTGTTGACTGTTTGAAACATTTTTTTATTGAAAGATTTGTCTAAAAAGAAAACAAAAAGAAAAGAGACATTTGGAACTACAGCAATATCCACTGGTTCTACAGACACTCTCAGAATCACAATTTGAAAGACATGGGAGGCATGTGACCAAGCAAATAAAAAAATAGCATCATCAAAGTTATTTCTGTTGCATCTTCTTTTACACACCTGTACAAAAAAGATCTCATAAATATTACTTTTGTTCTTGCTTTCTCTACTCTCTCTCTCTCTCTCTCTCTCTTTCTCTCATCTTTCAATAGGTTACTCTCGGTTAGAGGTTTGTATCTGCTTGATTTTGGTTGAACCATCCTTTTTCTGTTCATGTCTGTTCCTCTGTTTACATTAGCTTCCTTTCATTGGTGGAGAGTCAGGTCGGTGGGGCTTTGAGGACGTGACCAGCCAGTTAAAGTCCATTTAGTGTTTTCTTTTTTTTTTGCTTTTTGTTCTCAACTCATGCACTCTTAGTCAGTGCAAATAATCGTCTTTATCCCGGCATAAAATAGTCAATTCTGGGGACACACCTCTTCCACACCCACCCATTACAAGCTAGCCTCAATCCCCAATACTGAAAAGTGTTTAGCAGCTCACATATCATAATCAGTTCTCAAAAAAATAAGACAAAAAAAGGCAACACAAAAAAGATAAAAACTATCTCCTTGTCCTTCTAGGAGAATATACATAATCTGAAATGATTTTGTTCAACAGAAATGCCCTTTCATCTTACAGAGATCGTCGCCCTGCTCACATTTTCAATGGCTTGTGTTTGGCAAGACAGCGGTGTACAATAGTTTGGTGCGTGGACTGAGACTATGAGTTTCAAAATCATTAACTCTAGAGTGTTTTTCGGGAAGCCGTCATAATGAGCTACAGAAGCCAGTGTCGCCGTTCAGGATGTGAGATTGGTCGACGCAGCCTGAGGACGGTGTTGTTGGTGTGTACACGAGTTCAAACAGTACACACAAGTATTCCACAGGATTTAATGCCTTTCAGCCTCTTTACCACTTAAAATATACTACACCAACTTATTCCCAATAATATAGCTTCTGCTTTCAGTATCTCCATACCACAGGACGTATGGTCTCTCAATAGATGTTACGGCGCCACTTCAGATCATCACCACATTTGATCACATGACATAGGGAACATCTCAGAGAACCCTCCTCTGGTTGAGGCAACTTTGTTAAACACCTCCTGCATGTGCTCGGTCACTGGTAAAATCAGCTCACACCAACAGCGTGAAAAGCAAGGAAAAAAGATTCAGCAACATAAGGAAGATCTCTTCACTACTTAGTTTCTTCATCTTTGGTATAAAATATGCCACCTGGAGGCTGCGTTTGTTCAACAGTTAAGAAAGACTCAAGAAACTGTCAACAGTTTTACTAAAACTATTGCTTTTTGCACATTTAAAAATCCTTGCGTTTTTTTCTCTGCTTTTTCTCAAAGTCAGAAATGTTCCTTTTTTTTTTTTTTACTTTTCTTTTTGCAGTGAGACAAGCAAAGCAGGCAAAGCAAAAACATATTTTTGAAAGGTAAAAAGACCAAAAACCAAAACAAACAGAAAAAAAAAAATACAAATGCAATGGACAAACAGAACTTTTATCCCATGATTAAACTAAACTGCATTTTCCAGGGAGAGGTGGATTCACCTTTTCCACAAGTCGCATTAAAGAAGATTTTTTTTTTCCTATGAACCAACACCAGCTGCACTGCACCACATAATTTAAAATCATCTTCATACAAATACAACCTTTTTTTTTTTTTTTTTTTATCCTGTACAGATAGCTTCGTAGATTTTATCTTCAAGGCTCTCGGAAACTCCAAGAACCTCTCAAATCATTCAATCACTCAGTCTTTTTTGTCTAATAATTCAACACTATGGAAACTTTTCCCCAAAGTTTGAGAAAATTAAGGCAATAAAGATTTACGAAAACATTGATATTCTAGAAAACTACTCAAATAATAAAAAGAATGAAAATAACGTAGCTTAATATCAAAGGAAGACAACCTGTTTTTTCTAGACTTTGCTTCCTTTCTTATTTTCTTTTTTTTTGATAAAAAAGTCTGAAAATCTACCTGCACATTCAAATGTTCTTTTTTTATGTACAGCTTGTTGGTTGAGTTTAGATTTCAGTCTATGTCTTCTCTTTTTCCTTTGGAGGCAAAGTCCATTCTCACGGTGAGAAATGATAAACTCAAAGTTGCAGACTGTGTTTGATTTCATCGTCCTCAGGTTCAGCAAACCATCATTTCTTTATTCTTCTGTCTTTTTCTTAGTTCGACCTTGTAAGAAATATAATTGATTTTTTTCTTCATTTTGTCTTTTATTTGGTGCCTGTGCACAGTGGAAGCATTCTCCCCTCAGTGTTGTCCATATCACCTCTTTTTCTTTGTCCCTGTTTCATTTTAATTCTCTCTGTGTCTCCAGCCCCTCAGTGCAGTCCTTCTAAAGGCAATGCAGCAATGATTCCTACCAATCTTGTTATCTAAAGGAAACAGAAAAACAAGTCAGTGAAAAAAAGGGTAACAGTGTTACTGTTTCTAAAGTGGGCACAACATTCTTTGTCCATTCACTGTGTGTAAAGGAGAACACCAGCAGGTTATCTGGGAAGCAGAAAAACAAGACAAACACAAGGACAGAGATAAAAATGGGGACGTTGTGTTTTACAAGCAAAGGCTGACACAACAAATGGCATAGCATTTTGTCTGTGCAACGCCTGCAAACTGTTGTCTTCTCTAGCTAATTATACTGCATGTACACACATTCAACATGATTGATTTCATTTGTAAATAGCAGTCTTAGCAAACACTGTTGTACTACACTGATGACTGCAAGATGTCCCTCTCTCTATCCAGGCTCTTTACCATACAGATACGCTCAACAAAACATCTTTAAATGACTAGTGTGACATTTTTGGAAGAACACTTATTCACAATCAATACGATCCTTGTGTCTGCACAGCAAACATGAAGCTACAGCCAGCAGCTAGTTAGCTTAGCATAAAAACTGGGAACAGGTGGAAGCATTTAGCCTGGCTATGTCAAAATGTCATACAATCCAAATTACAAGTCTCTATGAATTAATTTATTAAAAGTATGAAATATTGCAGCATATATAAGTTATCATTAAGTTCTCCCATAACCTGCTGTATACTATCAGAATCCCACACAGGTATCCAGCCTTCTTTTGTACTGTTATTGTAAATATAAAACACTTGAATACAACTTAACAGTGCAATGCAGGAGTGATATAGCAATGACGTCTCTGTACCAGATGTGCATTAAGAAAGTAATTAAAAAAAATACAGATTTCTACTCACTTAGTCTGCTGGTAAGAGTAGGCTGTGGCATGATCTCCTGTACTCTCCACTGACAAAGGCTGCTGCCCGCTGGCGTCCTGTGAGGATGGGGCGGCTGTTTGTGGAGATGGATCTGTCACCACGCCCTGACGCCAGAAGCACAGTTACAGAAATAAGTCAGATATGAAACAAACTCATGCGGTTAGAAGGTTTAATTCCAACCTTTGTTTGGAAGAAAAGTTCACTCAGAGAATCCAGACAGTTTACCAAAGGCAAAAAATTCACGCTCATTTTGGCAAATGTTATTCTTTGGGAATTAAGTGTAAATTAGTGACTGATCAACCACAATCTGTTATTATCAAGGCTTTCAACATGAAGTTCCCTCAGCAACAATAAATAAGTGACTGACACTAAGGTCTACCAAATTTTTAGTTTTAGTTTTCATTGAATGACACCATATTCATTCTAAGTAAAGCTACATTCATTAACACGTACTTAAACTGAGAGCAATAAACTGAGAGAATTATACTGTATAGTGTATATAATGTGGGTTATATGATACTCAATATTCAATTTTACATTTGTTTTTTGTCTTGACAACAGCATACTGCAGATGTGGCTAAAAATGCTTTCTACCCCCTGCAATAAAACTTTTAAATACAGGCCTGCACAGTACAGGCTGCTGCATGAAGTTGGACTACGGAGTAACCAGTACAAAGTCAATAAACAACTTCTTCTTTTTGTCCTTACTTCCACTGTGATGGCAGAGGCAGGCACTGCAGTGTACTGGGGAATGTAGGTTCCTTGCATAGGAGCAGCTGCTGCAGCAGGCATGTACTGCAGAGAGAAAGAGGGACACACAAACAATATTATAATATAGGCACAAACAATATGTCCTCCAGAATCCTTGATTAAAAGAAGTGCCTGAAATTCCCACTGAGATGTGCGTTTTCTTTTTTTAACATTTCACAATAAATTAGATAAAAACAGTTTGGCCTCAGCCCAAGGTCATCACATAATTCTTCTCAACAGGAAAAGGCATTTCCCTAAATGGCAATAAGTTTTACAATTACAGCTGATGGCAGAAATCTCTACCGACTAATCATATTAAATATATTATAACTAAAAATGTAAACACATACACATACATGCAGAGCAAGATGGGTTGGAGGAGATAAAGCTGAGACTCACAGTGCCTGTAGTGCCCAGAGACAGGTGGTTCATCTGCTGGGTGAGAGGAGCCATAACACTGGAGGGGTGAAGAGACAAACTGGGCTCTATGGCCGCGGCTGGAGTGATGACAGCACCCTGAGGCAGGAGGGACAGAAGGAAGGAAGGACACATCACCAACTGGGTTACAGACACTGTTGTACAAACTACTGAGGACAAACTATTATCCACTCACCAGAATATCACGTAGGAAACACACGTCAAAGTCGCAATACAAACGACATATAATGTGTTAATCAGTGAGCTTTAGAGGAGATGGTAGGCAGATTTCTTTTACTATAGGACAGGGCCAGGCTTGCCGTTTCCCCCTGATTCCAGTCTGTGTACTAAACTAAGCTAAGCTAACTGTCTCATGGCTGTATTTTCATATTCATATCGACCTTCCCATCAAACATTCAGCAGGAAAGCAAATATGTGTACTTCCAAAATGTAGAACTATTCCTTTAACTCAGGGGAAAAGTACCACTCAAACTAGCAGGAATTATCACAGCAAAATATGTCACTTGAGGTGTTTACTGCCATGGCAAAAGAGGTTGGATTTTATGATATACAGCTAAAAAACAGCATTTTAAAACATGCAGCCAGAAGGAAAAGCCTAGACTTCCAACCCTGTTAAGTTTGATGACTGCAAATGGTTTGACTTTGTACGTGGCAAACGCAGCCAGTCAAGCGGCTTTGGCAGGCTTGACAGAACATGCTTCTGAATGGAGCAGAAAGGCTTTTACTGTAAATCTCCTCAATGTGAAGGGCTTTGATGCAGCCTAACACCTTGATGCACCGAGCTCTACTTTTCCAGTACAGCTCTGCCACAGACTCAACAGCTCTGTATAGATTTAATAGGAGACTCCTCAACACTGGGTGCTGAGGCGCCTGGCAACGTCTTTGCAGCGGTAAGCGCTGTTCATTTGTGATAGCTGTTTAACTACACTTCCCATGAGCACAGACAGCATCAGTGGATGTGTGTCAGGATCGCTCCAGAGAGGAGTCGGCACTTGTAGCTGCATGTTGAGACAGGACGTTAGAAGAACACAGGTATTAAATTTACGTATTTTAGGCACAAGCCCAGCTGTACGGCAGTTTCACAAGGAAGCTCGCAACAACACAAACACACAAGAGTAAACACGCACACACACACACACACACACACACACGCAGTAATGAAAGTTTTAGCTATGTGAAGCGTTCCTCTCGAAGGCACATACAGTCTGTCAGAGCTGTTCACAGTTGCGAATCTGTGATTGAAGATCCTTTTGTCTGCAAGCTTCATAGGGAGGCATTCACACACACACACACACACGCGCGCGCACACGCACACACAGACACACACGCACACACACAGCACAGATAGGGATTGTCAGAACTGTTAACAGTGGTGAGTGCTCTTCCTCCTGACTGCTGTCTTCATAGGGAGATCTGTTTGAAGAACACAGCAGCCTGGCTATCAGAAATGCTCTGTCAACACTGTCCTCGACATCACAAGTGAATGAGTGGCACTTGTTCTCTTTTTCTGCAAGAGCACACACACACTCACTCACACACACACACATACTGTACATATATATATATATATATATATGTGTGTGTGTGTGTGTGTGTGTGTGTGTGTGTATGAACGCAGAAGCATCCACACACAGATGCATCAGCAGATCTACCCACAGACCCACACAAAGCTTTGGCACAGGCAGGTAGATTTAGCTGCTAGAATCTTGCTAATACCCAAGCTTTTCATCCATCTATATAATATGTTCTCTAGTTTAATGATTTCTCATCCCCCCTCGCTCTTTCTCTCCCTTCATCCAATCTCGCAGCAGGCTTCCAGGCGGAGAGAAAGATGCATCAAGCAAAAGAAAACCCAGAATGACTAATTATCTGCTCTGATGTATAGCTGTACAAGTGTTAAACTTGCAATCTCTGCATGTATCTGTATGTGAACACTATGTATTAGTGGGCGTGTGATGTGTGGTAGAGCGTATGCATATATGTTAGTGTTTTCATGTATCAGACGAGCAATAAATGAGCACACGAGACAGACAGTCCCCCCCCCAGGACAGGAGAGAGACAAACACAAGATCTGCTTCAACTTTGAACTTGCTCGTTCTCTCACTCACTCGCTCACCCCCCCACCCCCACCCCCCCTTCCTCTCCTCTCCTTCTTTTGCTGTCATTTTTCCAGTAGAGAATTGAAGCTGACTAACAGAATGCTGCAGGCACCGTGCAGCATCAAAAACACAGTATTAGTGATAATGACACCCGTTTATCGAGTAAACCACTAACTGCTGCTGCTGGTGTGAGGGGAGCGCCGTGTGTGTGAGCACGCAAACGATGTGAACGGCCATTATTTGTTCTCTTGCAGGTGGTGTGCTCTGAAAAGCAGATGTTTGTATTATTCTACTGAGATAACTTCCCATCCTGAAACCACACCCTTTCTCTCTGTCTCACCTTTATTATTTTTTATTTTTTCTTTACCCACAAAAACCCACAGGATTTTACAACACTGAAAGAAGGAAAAAGAAAGGTATCACTGGGTTGTAAACTCTAATCGTGCACCCACATGCATCCACGGCTGACAGTTCTGCAACCGCAGGATCTCGGCATTAAAAAAAAAGACACAAAGTGAGTATTGTGCAACATTTACAGGCTGAGATATGTACTGAACTGCGCTTTCTTCCGACACATTCTTCACCTCCTTTGTCTCCTAAAATGGGTTTAACATGGCAATTTAACTCAGGAAGATCTGAAATCCCAATTCTTTGGATGTCTCATTACAGTCCTCCCCAATAAGCCGCCTTCCATGTCTTTCTTGCTATGCGTGGTTAGGGTAATGCATTCATTTCCTGTAGGGGGATTTGTGAGTAATTATGCACAAAGACATCCTCTCACTAATTAAGATGTAAAGACAGGGAGTTCAAGTAATCTGGGCATTCCACCAAGACTCGGAAACACACAGTCCTTAAGGCACTCCACTGTGTGTATAGGTGTTTTCGTGTGTGTGTGTGTGTGTGTGTGTGTGTGTGTGTGTGCATCCAAATTAATTTGCCTGTGTCTGTGTGTAAATATAGATGTCTGAGTGCACGTATGTGTCCCTTCTTTATTCCTGAGGAACAAAAACAGTACTTAGCACTGTTTTCACTTCTCTCATTCTAACCTTTTAATTAGGGTCATTCATTTCTTAAGCAACTGTGTCTACAGTGTGTATCTGTGAAAGTCTATGGGTTTGTCAGTGATACACAATAGCCAACCTCACAAGTTTGGTAGCACAAGCAGGTAAAAAGGAATAAAAAAATCTCTACCTGTATGATGGACTGTTGACTGAGTGATTAACAGAGGCGCGCTCGTGTGCATCAACCTAAATGTGTCAATGAGTGCACACCATTAATCGGAGTTACCAGTCATTAGCCGTGGTACAGCAGTGAGGAAGACTCTGCTGCCATAGGAACAGAATTAAGCCGCTGTGTCTCTCCCAGTCTCCCTCCCTGACGCAGCTTTAATTTGCCAAGCTCCTCTGTATCCAGGAAATACAATGACTAGCCTTCGCCTTTGTTGTCTAACAGGGATTTTGACTATGCAGAGACAAGGCTGGGGAACAGGCACGCACAGCCCAGACATGCTTTTGCAGCAGTTGTTTTCTCTTCTTTGTTCTCAATTTATTCTTTGTAATCCCTTCTTTCCTCTCCTCTCCCTGCGCCTGCCTCTCTCCCCTGTCCTTTCTCTGTCAAATGCAGGCAGTTTATTTATTTTCTCCTTCTCCAATCCCTCATTCTTTCTTCTCTTCTCTCTCTCTCTCTCTCTGTGTCTTTTCCCAAGTCTGAGGAAGTCATATCAAGCGGCCTGCCAGATAATTAGATGGGACATTTGTTTGAAAACACATTTACAGAAGGGTATTATCCTCTCCCACAGACATAATTTTAATCAGACATGACAACAGAATGTTTTTAGCAGTTGGCAGATAGACACAAAGAAGACGACAGATAGGAAGAGAGAACGACAGAGAGGAGGAGCAGCAGAATTTGGAACTAGTTTAACTATTGTGTTAGGCAGCATTTGCTTCAGTTCCTGCTTCAGCTCCTCAGTGCATGGCTGATATAGCTGACATACCTGAGCTGTCTCTATCTTCCAACCCCCTAAAGTCGAGAATTTCAATGAGGCATAGCTAAATTTTCAAGGTGTAAAATAGTCTGCAGTTGTTGGCAAGAAACCAACTCACTCACACGATTACAGATAAAAATCTGGATGATAAAATCTGTCTTGACAGTCATCTCTTTGTGAGAGGAGCCAACTTTATTTTCTAGAAAAACACTGATAGTGCAGGAGCATGCTGTACTGTAAATCTTATTCTTCCATTACATAAAAACTGGATGAGACAGTGTCGTCATGGGATGGCTTTACTGCCCAGATAATGTGCTGTGTCTGAAAGATTTTTTTCCCTTTCCTCTTCATATGAACCCTGTCTAAGAACAGGATATTTTCAGAACAGGTGTGTAATTAAAACCCAGGGGTATAAAAAAAATCAAATGCATGTGTTACAGGCTAGTTTAACATTTTTTTCCTTCATGTTAAAATTATTAACATAGACTGTTCCCGAGCAAAACCGGTGGAACTATGAACCACTACTGAATAAATGTTTAAGAGGTGATTAAGGTTTATTTTCATCTGATGCAATTTCAGAGTCCCTGTATGGCCCCAACATGAATCTATATTATCTATCACTTCTTTTTCTATTGGCCCTGCTGTACTGAGAACCCAGTTACAGTTATCCAGTTTATAACCTGTGAGACAATGTAAAATATCCCTCACTCCTTCCCACCAGTTAAAGAAACACTTTTACAGAATGCAAAGGTAAATCCAGGACTCTGTCCCTGGATTGCATGAAGGTGTAGAGATATTGCTCTATATGTTTGAGAGGGTCAGTTACTGTAAAGTCTATCAGTTCAGACTTGAGGCTCAAAGCAACATTTGTGGAGGTTGTTCCTACAGCTGAATACAGTCTCTGGCTAAAAGAGGGTTATGTTTGTGTGTGAGAGAGCAGGGGAGGCGAATAAAGAGAATCTGTAGGTGAGTGAATCTAAAGTGTATGTTACCTGCGCACCTACACGCACAGTCAATATATGTGACTATATGTGCAATTATGTGTGTGGGTGTGTTTTAACACATTTTTGCGTTTCAATCACAGTGGTGTGCACATGTGTGTGAGAGAAATGGATGTGTGTGTGTGTGTGTGTGTGTGTGTGTGTGTGTGTGTGTGTGTGTGTGTGTGAGTGTGTGTGTGCTTGGACTGAGCTCAGACAGTTTGAATCCTTCAGATCACAGATCATCAGACAGAAATGTCCTGGTCTGCAGCCAGACAGGAAGCATTCTGATTGTTCTGTAGTACTGTGTTACACTGTGTTACACTGTGTTACACTGTGTTACACTGCATTCTGTTGTGTCTACGTGTTTCTGTTGATATCTTTGTATAACTGTATAAATCTGATTAATTGTTACCAGTTTAAACTGACTTTAATATCAGTATTATATTTACCACTGAACTTGTGGGAGTTGGGTTTCTGTACCTGCAGTTTCATTTCAGTCCAGCAGGGAGCAACCTTTTATTATGGATTTCCGACTTGGCTCCGCTGAGCCTTTTAAGGAGGTTACTCTCAGGCTGATTCAGCAGAGCAGGACTCAGATGCAGGGAAGGAGTTTTTTCTGGTCTGACTGGGGTTTGGCTCTCATAGACTGCTGCACTTGTTGGAAACTGTGTCTCATTTTTCTTTCATTATTTGGCTCTTTTTTTTGTTGTTGCAATTTTGGTGATTTGTAGCGATTTATCAGTGACAATCCATCTTTTGCACTGAAATATAAAATTAAAAAAAAATCTGAAGACATTAAATACTGTTTACAATTAAATGCAATTATTGTTTGAGCATTATAGTTCAAACAAGACCTAATGGTTTTTTAAGCTGGATGGCTGAATAATTTTTATTTCATAAATCCTGGGGCTGCCAATACGACAGACCTTCACATTCATCACCGGTCTTTCTGAAATGAACATTGCTCTGACATATCTGGAATGTGTTGAGATTATCAGACTGAGAAGTGCCTGAGGAACACATATTGAGACATGATTATACAGGGATGACAGGTAGGACTGCAATGTAAAAGGTAGACAGTGACAAACATGGAGAAAATTACTCCATTGGGATCAAGATAACATATGACAAAAAACTTACTGTAGGTTGCATAACATACTGTTGATGTGGCATCCAAGATGTACTCTGGACCTGGGGACAGAAGAGAAGAGAAGAGAAGAGAAGAGAAGAGAAGAGAAGAGAAGAGAAGAGAAGAGAAGAGGAATAAAAGATATAGCAAAGGTAGAGGTGACGACAGTATGATCAGAGATGACGAAGGAAATAGAAATAAGAAAGATGCAGGGTAGAAAGAAAGGAAGGATAAGAAAAATAAAGTAATTAAAGGAGGAGAAGATGGGCAAGAGTAGGAGGATGCAGGAGGGAGGTCAGGAGGAGATGAGAGAAAAGGGAAGATCAAAAAGAAGATTGTTGTAAGTGGGTAAAGAATTGCGGAAGAGAGAACATAAAGAAGGACAATTGTGAGAGAATGACAGGAAGGGAGCGAAAATGAGAAAACCAAAGAGGAGAAGAGAGAAAATTAATCATTAGCTCAAGTCTTTACAAGCCCATTTCAGAGCCTCAGTCCCTGCGGCAGTGTGTCTTAAAGAATATTACAGCGGTAACCGAGGGTCCACTATACAGTATGTTATGTTGTAATTATAAGAGGATATGAAGACCACAGAGAGCAATACAGTCTAATAATTACTGCTTCACAGAGGAGGTTTCATCATCAAAGTCTGTCTTGGCCACAAAATACCACTTTCATCTCCTCCTGCTGCCCACTGCCCAGCCCTAACATGAGGAGAAACAAGTCCCCGGAGGCCCCTTTGTCGCACGTAAGGTATTGTATTCGCGTATATAGTAATCATATGAGTGCATGTATGTGTTCGCTTATCTGTCTATAGGGAGTTAAAGTAACGCAAGGCAGGTTAATTTCTTCTTGTGTTTCCCTCAAAAAGCAGGATGTGATTGTGTCTCAGTGTGTAATTGTGCACTGTTGAAGGTGTGTGTTTGCATTTGCCTCTCTCATTTACAGCAGCGCTGGAGGAAACCTGTGGGGGAGGACTGCTGTTTGTTTTAAAGTCCATGTGTTTGACAAACTGAGGATCAAGTCAATCAAAGAACCTCTCAAAGAACCAAAGCTACATTGACAAAAACTAGTTTTGACATGAGTTGGTATGGTGTGTGTGTGTGTGTGTGTGTGTGTGTGTGTGTGTGTGTGTGTGTGTGTGTGTGTGTGTGGAGGAGAGAGAATGCGACACATGGGAACAGAGAGAGACAGACAAAAGGGGGATTTGTGTCTAAGAATGAAAGATCGATGGGAGGAGTGCTGCAATATAAGCCTATGTTTTATCATTGCTAGACTAAGAACTGCAATGGAGGGAACTATTAACTAAATGTCTGTGTTAAAGTCTTTCCTGAGAAAAGACAAGCTCTACTTCCTTGACCTGTAAATCCACACTCGAAAAAAAAAAAAAAAATGAAATTCATAAACCATGAACCAGAACTAAAGTGGACGGGACCATTTGAAATATTCATTACATATTTCAAAAGCTCTCGTCCCATGCAAGGTTACAGAGCTGTTAACTTCACACAGGATGAGGCAGCTGTTTATACTTTTCTTACTCTCAGCACATCCCATGAAAAGATAAAAATCAACAATGTGTTTGTCTGTCACTTAACACTTTCAGAATTCCACTTCCCCCATTTTGTATGCTCTCCCCTTATCATTATGATCCCTAAACTCCTGTGAAATCTCTATGAAGCAGCTGAAAACGTCTTTAAAAAGAAAGAAAGGCTTTTGGTTAGTCTGTCTGAAGAGCTGCTCCATTTTATTTTATTGCTTTTTATTTGCCTTTTCACTTGTCTGTGTCTGGAACATTTGTACTTTTTTATTGATGTAAAGCGGTTTGTGATTTTGTATCTGTCAAAGGTGCAGTACAAATAAAGTTTACTTACTTTACTTGTACTGTAGTAGATATTCACAGCAGCCGGACAGTGCATGTGACGCTGACAAAAAGATGAACTACAGTGTTCATGGTAATGAAGGAATGTGTCATCCAGTGCAACAGTGTTAACAACAATGGAGCTCCTTGGCAGTGGAATAGAATAAGATATATCAGGCTTTGGCTGTAGCCAATACGTGTTAGTCGGATCAATTCATTGTTTGTTTTTTATCTGTTCATGGGATTTGTTGACTGTGAGAAAAATATAGAATATCAACAGAATTATACCTTACAACCACTGATGTACAACCACTAAACTAACGCTACTAAGCTACACTCAAGAGCTGTTAACTTCACTCAAAAAGCTAACAGAGTGCTAACAGAGTGCTACCAGGTTGCGCTGTATGCTCATGGGACACCATGTTGGAGCTCTGTCTGACTGAGAACATTAGCTCCTTTGCTAAATCTGAGCAAGCTAACAAAATCAAGAAGCACGTCAGAAGCTGGGACTTGAGTGGGGTGATTTGCAACGGTGCCTTAGACCAAATTTAAGTAAGTTGAATTTGGAAAGAAATGAACATGATGCAACTATCATTATAACTATGAAGTTATTCATACAACTCCTATCCTTTATTAGACTGCCAATTTCCCAACTGCCTGTTTGAAGTGGCCCATGTCATTTTCTGGAGCGATACAAAAGCTCTTAAAGGGCCCCCTCCCCAAGGCTTGACCTCACCCAGTACGCCTCAGACAGGGTCCACCCACCTGATATGTGGAGACAGGAGAGGCAGCGATGAAGGGTGTGATTGACGTCTGTGCAATCATCCGATTGGTGGAGATGCTGTATGGTGAGGAGTAAAACCTATGGAGGGGAAAACAAGAAAATGTTTCATTTTAATGTAAATGGGATAAAACTGAACCAAGAGCATGTTGAACCCCCTTTTATGTTAATATAAATGTAACGTCAGTCGAGAGGCTTCTCTGCACACATAGCATTAGCTCTACAGATGTAGCCACATGTAAAAGGTGAAAATGAGCCTTTTGTACCTCTTTGTCTTCAACCACACTTCAAGACACCACCTGACGAAATGGATCAGACATCATCAAGGCTGTCTTGGAAACAATAAATATTGCAGCTTCACTCTGCGCCACACCATCAAAGACGTCTTAGAATGAGACTTGACACTGCACCGGAGTGCACATCATGTTACAAGGGAGTCTGCTCCACTGCTATGCATAATAATGAATTATCACCTTAATGTGTGAGTGGGTGAAATATTTCAGTATTGCCTTTTATGTTCCCACCTACGCATATTCCACTTCGAAGGGGAGGCTGCACCTGTAACATCTGCATTTTATACTCTGTTTACTTCTCCTCCTATACCTTTGTTTGCCCTTCTGATTTTGCTCCATCTATTTTTTTCTCTCCGTTTCACCCCCTCAGCCCTGCAGCGGTAGAATACTGTGGCTTGCGGTGCTTTATTTATCATTGTGTACCTAGAGAGGACATGTTTCATCCGCCAGGCCGTGTTGCTGTGCCCGATCGATCCCCAAGTGTCTATTGACTGAATAATGGGGCATGGGAGTGGAGGGAGAGAGAGACAGGAAGAGAGGGAGAGAGAGAGAGGCAGAGACAGAGAGAGGAGCCCTCCCCTATCTATCTCCAACAGCCATGACTGTATAAAAAGGTACTTGCCACAAATCAAGTGTCGCTTAATTGGGGGAGAAAAGTACTTAACCACCTTTGCCTTACTTTTAAAGGTTACTCCAAACTACCCCTGACAAATATATTATTTAATCTCTTAGAAATTGTATTCTTGTGGCTGTCTATTATTTATAATAGAATAAACAACATACAGAGATGACAGTGGGGCTCAGAAACCAGCCAAAGACAGGAAAACGTAGATGAATCGGTGCTGCTCCACTGTGACACAAGCACACATCTCATTTCATGGTGAAATGGGTTCTTGCGGTGCCCACCTGTTCTGTTATTGCACTTTCTGTTTCACATTATATTTGTTCGGCCAGTGATAGCGCGAGCAGTTTTGAATCTCAGCTGCGAGATGCAAACCCTCAGATATTTTTAAACTCTTTGCAGTCCGTGCCTTGTGGATGCAGGTGGTTTCCAACTGCCTGCGATAAGCTCCAGAGCGTGATTGTGTTTCACATAGCTCCAGCCTCCCTGCTGGATTTTTATGCTCTCCTTGGTGTGTTGGAGCCAAAGTAGTTGTACATAAAGAGTAGAGTTGCAACGGTTATAGCGTGGTTTCACTTTTTTTGGAACCAGAAAAAGAAATCCCATGAAGTACTAGTAATATATATTTTCTCTTGCCAAGTTTCAGCTCTGGTTCATGCGCAGGTTGATTGTGTGTTTTATCTCACTGTAGGTGTGTTGATACTGGCTCAACTCACTTCGATTTTCCCCATACCTCCTTGAAGGGACATAGATTTTCTTAAATTTTCCTCTTGCACCTTTAAACTCTGGCTTACCTTAACGTCTCCTTAGCTTTCCCTGTAAATATAGACTCAAAGGAAACCGGGCGTATTCTCAGTTACACAAATATTCTGTACTGGCATTGATTTCTTGAGCTACAGCACGGTACATTTGCATTTATGGATATATCTCAACTATTGACATGACTTGGATTGAAAGGACTGGACAGATATAGATCTAAGTTAGAGTAAGAACTAGAACATGTGATGATCAGTGACAGGAAAAAAAACTCCTTCGCTGATCATACAGCCGTATGGATCCATCTTTTTGACTGTACAATTAATGTATGACTTGCATTAGAGATAGTGTATTACTGTCACTGATGAATACAAATGAGCGAATGCAACAGGGTTATTCAATATGGCTCTCTGATTGTGTTTATTGTATTTTTCATTAGAGTGATGTGTATTGAGAGGGAGAAATAGTAGATAGAGGACAGATCCAAGGTTATTGATGGAGGCTATTAGCCTTGAGCAGCGTGTTGTCAATAGGGACTCCAGCGTGGCTGTTTAAACAATACACTAAACATGTAATTGCGAAGAGAACATTAAGATGGGATTGAATTTAAAACCTCTCTGTGAATCCCCGGTGTGACCTAGCTGCACTGTCAGGAGTTTGCCCTGAAAAATTAGCAAATGATTTAGTGCCGACCTTAGTGACTTTTCAGCGGAGAAATGTGGGCGAGCATGCTAAAATGTACCATATACGTGTATGTGGGCAGGAGTGGCAGAAGAAAGAGAGAGCAGATATGCAGGTCGAGGAAGAGGGGTAAGAACAGAGGCGGGGAGAAAGGGAGAGGGATGGAGAAACAAGAGGAAAAGAGACTGACCAGATAGGAGGCGGGAGATCGAGAAAAACAGCCCCCGGAGAAAGCGAACATTGTGTTTCTCTGATACAGAGAGGACAGGCTATAAGCCAAAGCAGTCTGGCCGGTTGGAGCACATGTTTCCAATAACATCGGATTGGCATCAGACCCTAAACACCAGTCGTCCTCAAGCTTGGACAGACTCACAAACCTGTAATTGATTCATACCCTTCCCCTCTCCTTGGGCTGACTTTATTTTTGCCTTTGCCCTCCTCTTGACCCCACCCTTTTTATTCAGCCCATTCCCTCCCTGCTTTTCGCCTCTCTAATTAGCTGCATTAGCATTTCACAGTCATTTAGTGCTTCGCCGGAAGGAGCTCTGATGACCTCGGAAGAGAGGTCGGAGAGGGCTTAAGCACCGCAAGTGCACAGATGCTCGCGTGTGAGCATGCATTTATGCATGCACGAGCACGCACACATGCACAGACACACCAAAGATGACCAAAAGTAAAGCAGATGCTTGGAAATGGAGAGTAGGGATTAGAAGGGGAAAGGAACTAAACAAGACAACAATGCAAAGAAGGAGGGGAAGAGAAGAAATAGTCGAAAACAGTTGAAAGAATGTAGGATAAGGTCAGACGAGCAGATGGACTAGTTTAAAGGTGATATGAAGAAAGGTGAATGTACAACAGGACAAGAGCAAGAAAGATGGGGAAAAAGGGAGAGTGGCGATGCAAAGAGGAAGACGAGGAGGAGTGGAGAAACACAGAGCTGGAGGGAAGCGTCTCCTGGGATCGCATCACCAGCAGCATTCCTAGCAGACAGGACCGATCTCCAATTTCCCCCTGAAACAGGCAGACACTCGGCTCTCTGCATTCAGCCTGGGAGCACTGCAGATAGCCTCGGCTGACGAAAGTCTTACAGCGGCACTGCAACACCACCCAACTTCCCTGTCTGCAATCAAAACCTACATGTCTGACAGCTTGTATGCATAGGTGCATAAATAAATGCTCAATCTGCATCAGTCAGATGTGAGAATGAGGGCGAGAGCAGGAAAGACAGAGGGAGAGGTGTGTGTGTGGGTGTGTGGGTGTGTGTGTGTGTGCGTGCGTGTGTGTGTGTGTGTGTGTTAACGACCTGTGTATCCTGTGTCTATTTCAGGTGTGTGCACATGTGTTGTCTTCTCATTTGCATGCAAGTGCTCATGTGCATATGAGCGCTGATGGATGGCTGATACATATGTGCATCTGTGCAGGTTTGCAAGAGTATGTGCCAGTTTTGTAAAGGCTCATGTGCAGGTGCTGATGTCGGGACTGACGCTGATGCCAGTTTGCTTTACAAATACCTGGTGGGGAATGTGAATCATAAGTAAAGTTTGCGCACATCGAAAGTTCGGTTTGTAAGTCTGTGAAGAAAACTTTCCACCTACCCGTTCTGCATTGCAGTGGGATCATACGTCAACGCCATACCACTCTGGAGAAAGAGATAAAGACAGAAAGAAATACACTTGAGGTTTCAAATACTTCATGTGTCTTTTGAAGGATTTGTGTTCACTCTCATTAAGATTTTGATGTGTAAACTGTTATTTGGTGGTGTCAAGTGAGATTAATAACTGCTTTAGTAATATTATGACAAATGGTCAAGCCAATAAAGGTAATGAATTGAGAGAGGGAGACACAGTGAAGAGGGAAAGTGATTCATGATGTAGAATAAACACTGAAGACACACACTTTCTCTTAAAATTCCCCAAGATAAACAAATGAGCTGCTAAATAAAGGACAACGCATGATGTCCTCAGTGGCCCAGAAATCTGAAATGAGCCAGTTAAAAGCACTTATGAAGAACAAAATGATTCTGCATGATTGTGTGTGAGCTTTAAAACTATGTGTCATGTTCAGCAATAAACACAGACAAAGGGCTCTATCTTACTAGTTTCAGACTGACGCACGTTGTCATTGGGCATGTTGGTCTTAAAATGAGGTGTGGTCAGGCGTACAGTTGGTGCATTGCTATCTTGAGGCAGCGGAAAGCGATTGACCAATAAAAACCTGGTGTGGAGTCAATGGTGCATTATTTTAAGGGTGCATGATGATAGTAAATAATAAATTGTAATGTGTGCCTACATAGGCGATTCTCAACACGCATGCACTATAATGCTCAAGCAGAGTGTGCTGAAAATGAGCTTCAGATGTTTGGATAGGTCAGGTGGAACATTACAATACAGCCTCAGAAGGCTGGGGAATTCTTCGTGGCATATTGTGTAAGGCATAATATTGCCATGCGTCATGGATGTCTCATGGACATAAATGAGGCTCTGCAGAGAAGCGTTCTTTCTTACTACCTGGTAAATCTGCCACAGCTTTTCCCATTCATCACCTAAACTAAATTTATCCCACCACAGTTTCATAATGAACCAAAGATTTATTTACACTTCTCATAATATAACATAAAAGATGTCTCACGTTGTGATTTGTGGAACTGTGCACAGCACATTCATTCGCTCAGTCCTTTCTTGCCCCTTTTTTGAGCTGCTGGGTGTGTGTGCCGGTACTGGGCTCAATGGCCAGTCACAATAAGTAATGAATAGAATCTAATTCTATGTGAAGCATTGCACCATTATAATAGCAATCTGCAAAGGTGCCAGCGCACCTGGCCTTTAAAGGGAATGGGAGATGGCACTTGGACATGGATTGATTTATTGCATGTTACTTCCAAAATACTCCCATAATCAATTAAGAGACAAAGAACAACCGATGTGAACCATGCTCCTTGGGCAACAACCATTTTTTTCCACTATTAAAATAGCAAAAATGCTATGGACATGCCCTAAATGCACTTGCGCCATGCACTTTGACTGATATTACCACTGAGGGATGACCATTATTGTCTTGAGAGTTTGAGTGATATGATATGTAACAACACAACAAGCTCCCGGTTCAATGCACTTGCAATATTTTAAACTGAGTAAGACTGAAAACATTTTGCTTTAAAAAAATATAACTGAACATAATTCATCAAAATACAAACAAGCTTGATGATCATGATACAAAAACGAATAAGAAATATCTACATAGAAATGTCCTCAATGAAACAAACACCACAAACATCTCTTTTCAAAACAAATGTGGTAAATGTTGCTGCTCGCTCCACTTGCATTTAACAATGTGGAGCACCCAAAGTCAATAGAAAGACCCACATAGAGAGAAACAGACATAAATCCACAATGGGCAACATGATCTAAGGTGACAGCACATCTGCTTGAAAATGTTTCATATTGAGTGAAAATTAGTCAGTTATTCCCAACTGTATGGCTTTGTGAACGCACAAAGGAGCAGAAAGGAGACGATCTGGAGGAAAATGAGAGAAATGGAAGTTTTGAAATCAGCCTGTCTGAGCTGTCACAGACGCAGTCGGAGCTTGTTGTCACAGCAAACATCTGTATTATCTGTCAGGGACCTTAACAGTTGCCAAAAAGCCACCAAAAGTACTCAGTTAATCAAAACAAGCACAAACTTCATCTCACTGAAGCTTTTTCAAGAAAAAAAAAAGGGACTCTGACAGTTTGGGAGCCAATTGTAAATATTTACTGAATACAGTGATCCGGTTTTCAGCACCACGACTACAGGAAGTGCTGCTCACGGAACAACAAGCGGACACCATACTGTAATTTTTCTATATCAATCTCCACTAATCACAGGGCTCAATTATTACTACAGTACACAGCACTAATGAATGAGGACAGGTTTTCCACTCCAGCTGCATAATCCCAGTGTGAGAGAAAAGTCAACTCAAAGCTACAAGAGTGTATTTTAGTTGCCTGAGTATTCTCCATGTCCCTCCCCCTCTCCTTTAAAATGTTGTCCCTATTAAGTCAAGTGTTCATCATTAAGTGACACTTTTCTCTTTGAATGTTTTCTATCTGTGCTTCACTTCCTCTGTCATGTGCAAATGAATGAAAAGCTTCATCCACTTCACTGCCTCTTGGCAATGTTGGAACAAACTTTAAGTATCAATTGTGTTTTTAGTCCTCTAATCTTTTATTTTTCTCCTTCTCTGTCTTTCCCTACGTCATTGCTTCCCCCCTCCTCTTCTGTGGCCTTCCAAAAGTCATTTGTGCGTGTTCTATATTCCACACAAGGCTCTTCTCTCCAGTTGAAAGTGTGCCCTGATGCTGAACTCTGCTAAGATGTTTGGTTTTTCCCCAAACACTGTTCCCAGCCAGGACAAGGGGGCTATAGACTGTAGAAGCAATAAAAAGGAGTGCCAGACATTGATGACATCAAATAGCAAAAATGAATCAGTCCAAAGCCCAAGATTCATTTTCATACCAGCCATCAAACAAACAACTGATTTAAAGCAGGCAAAATTTATATCACACATACACAAGAATTCTACCTTTCACCTTGAGCAAAATTTGTATTCACTGCTGGGTCCCTGATTTCTGAGCCAGAGCTAGAAGAGATCAGCTCTGTGAAGCATCTTGATGTTTGCATCTTATCCTCTAAGTTTCCTTCATCTAACAGCAAAAAACTGGACAAGATTCTTCAACTGCTGCACAACACCAGCATTAGTCCACGAATGTGTGTATGTGAAACACATGCAGACACATCAGGACACCTTCAGGGGGGCTCCTGGACCAGAGCCTCAATTAGCTGTGATGGTTATCATTTCAGCAAAAAGACACAAATCAACTACAAAGAGACACAAAACAACAGCAAGAGACACAAGACCACACAGAGAAGTACAAAAAGACACAAAATACAACACAGATGGCTTCAAAGAGACACAAAATGGCCATACAGATGACTACAAAGAGACACAAGAGAACTACAAAGATGCAAAACATTTGTAGTTGAAAGAAATACCAAGTACAAAGAATGCAACCCCCCCCCCCCCCCCGCGGGGGGGGGGGGGGGGGGGCTACACAGGCTATGCCCAGGGAGCCCGCTGTCTCATAATCCGCCCATGTTTATCTTAAGTGCGCTTCTCTGCACAAATGTTACATGTGTGAGTGATCTTGTGCAATATATGTGTCCATGTCATAGTCCCAAGGCCAGATTCATTTAGTAGTGAGTGGCTGTGGGAGATTAGAGTCGGCTGATTGAGTGTGAGGACGCGGTGAGGCCCCTTAAAGCACCTCCCCGGCCAGACGTCTCTATTAGTCTGCCTGGACTCGGAGACTTGGCTCTGACAAATGCATAAACCTCTGAAGGGATGCTTTTCCTCTACAACGCCAAGTGGGGCTTGTCAGGACTTGGGCCACTGACAAATGTGTGAGGAATCCCACTGAAAGCACGGATCATTTATTTTAAGTACAGCTGACAATTCACAAATGTTGACAACAGGACACAAAGAACCGCTAACACCAAGGCCTCTGGTGTTAACTAAGCTTTGGTGTGATTTGTCCTTCTTTGCTCTCTCTTAAAAAAAAAATAAAAAAATAAAAAAATAAAAGTGCAATCTATGCCTGCTGAACACAGCCACACACAAAAATGAAGCACATACACTGTGGCATCCTGTTTTTGTTGTGGCAGCTCTTGTTTCAGCGCACAGTTGTTTCAGCCCAGTTCCATTTCATTTCACTTCACCACGCTGCTCTTTCCCAACCTCCATATAATGTCAATGTTGGGAAACTGTTTAAAACTGTACTCAGTGTGTGGGTGGCGACATTATTATTCACTTTCCCTTGTTCTGTAAATTAAAGCTTTGGTATCGACACTAACAACTTCTGAACTCGCAGCATTGTGCAACAGTCAATCTGCTTTCAGTCTGCTGGGAGAGGTTTCATTTCTCATGAAGATGACAGACTGAGAGTGGGAGTTTCAACAAAAGAAAAAACAACTTGGCATTGGGGTCTTGGAATAACCTTGTATTTTAAATTTAATAACTTTTATATATGCCCGCTTTCACATTGACAGCAGCATCTCTAATTCTGCCTACAGTACAGTTATTGGAAATGAAAGCTGATAATGACCCGGCAGGGGGGCCTGTCATGCTTTTCAGGTTTTATACTCTGTCATAAAATGTGAAAAAGAAACGGATGTCAAAGGGAACATCAGCTAGATATTTAAAATGTATGAGAAAAATGACTTGTTGGACCTTTTGTAATGTTTCCTGTGAAGCAGCTGTGAAATGTTACAGTGCAATCTATTGTACTGCGTGCAACAGTATTTCACTCTCATTTCTATTATGATAAGATTAGTGTTATGCTTTTGCTAGAAAGCTGAGTAGGAAAAGGTTTAAAAGAGGTTTGTGGATAGACTCGACTCATACGTGTAACTAAGTTAGAATAATACCAATTGTGGTTTTGTTAACTTCAGTATTTCCTCCTAAAAAGCCTCTAAGTAGACACACTGTACTCATTCTGACTGTGAGAAGCGAGAGGCTATTGTTGATTTAGGAAATGTCTGCAGCAGAATAACTCTGCCAGAGGAAAATCCTATGTTGCTTTCTTTTACAGTGGCAGAGGGTAAAAGGGATTACGTTGTAACAAACTGATTGAAAGACATGGTTCTTGTGTTACAATTGGCTTTTCCACTTGTGTTTTAAGAAAACGCCGCAGTGGCTGATGAAGGGAATCTTTCATGATGGGTACTGGTGAGCTTTGTTTGATGGTTAAATAAGCTTTACCTCTCCTTCCCGTGTCCATGGTCTGCCATTCTGGGGATACTTGACCTGGGTCTGCCTCTTTTTCTGGCCTCCATCAGCAAACTTGCACAGCAACGGCTCTGCAGGGGCTACAGAGAAAAACAGACAGAGAGAGAGATGACCGTCTTAATCGCAGGAAAATGTGAAATTTCCTGTATGTAGTTAGGAGTTACATTTCAAAGATAAGATTTAAAGACAGGGTGTTATGCTGTGGCTTAAACTAAAACATAACATGAATCAACTGGACCTGAAAACAGCACTTCAGTTTTACATTTATCTCTTCCACCTCTAATCCAAACATCTAAACAACAGCAGTTATCGCACCATCTCTACAACTCCTACAACTGTGCGTCGAACAAAAGCAGCCTTGACGTGGAAACAACGCCATGGGCTAATCATCAAAGCATGGTGAGCGTGGTTCAAACGACAAACCGAACACGCATACTTAATACGCTAAATAACTCCACACAGCTTGACCCCCGGGCAGTAGACTGCGGTTGTGATTGCTCCAAAGACAACATGGTCCTTTTCTTGGACCAGAGAAAGAAGAAAGCCTTGATTACAAATAGGATTAGCTGAGTGTGACCTCCCACACAAAAGTTCACCAAACTCCAACTACATCCTGATAGGCTTCTGCCTCAAATACCCCACAGGCTTGTGAAATAGTGGGAAGTAGTTGGATTGGAGCAGGGTTCTCCAAAAGAAAAAAAAAAGAGGCTTTGTTCTGTTATCAATTTATTTTATTTTAAAGGCGTATCTTTAGAATTTGTTCGAAAGCGAGAGAGCGTGAATAATGGTCTATATTTCTGGGAAACGCTTCAGCATGACTCAACAAATACAATAAAAAGTCAGACCCTGACATGAGCCAGGACACTCAGATAAGACACTTGATGGCTTATGAAGCGACCGGCTGTCTTCTGTTTTATGTGATCTCTGACCACAGGGTGTATTTCTTGGATTTTGGAGTTATTGTTCATCCACATGCACACAGAAAAACATACACATGTATACCCACTAAACTCAGAACCAGCGCTGTTATCAGCATAAGTGAACATAGTGAACAGATTAGAGACAGATAAAGATTATACACTACAGAAATAACTGAATGAACTTCAAACATGCTGAATAACCTTTCTACCCTGGATGAAAGTACTTACTACCCTCAGATATTATGGCTTTTAAAAGAGTTACCAAATTATGAGGACTGCCTGGGATGTGTTATAAAATAAAAGTTTGAAAAGAAGAAAATATAATAGTGCATTAATGTTATTATCAATGTATAAAATAGTTTCAACGTATGTTTTTACGTTCAAGTCCCTTTGCTTTCCGGTAATTATGACGGGAACAGAGGAGGAAATCAGATGTGCTGTTATAGAGCGTCAAAATCTGCAAAGGGAGGAGTCAATAAAACATCAAATTTTAACATGGGAGACCGCTGTTTACTTCCTGTTTCCAGCTACTGGTCAGTCTAAAGCATGACCACTATCATTCCCTGACATTAACTAAATGTTTGTTGTTGCAAACATGATGACAAAGGTCGCTAACCTTAGCAAAGTACTCATTTCAACTCAAGCTCAAGTTTTTCGAACCTTAACAGAGAATTTATTTTATCCAAACCTAACTGAAGCTTAGCCACAGCACTGTCACTTCATACAACAGATTGATTTTTCAACAGTGATTTGTAATAGTTTTGAAAGACACGGACAAATGTCGTCCTGCTGCTGAGGGTTTAAGTTCAGAAAACACTGCTATGTGTCAGCCTAGAGGACGAACGATTATTTCTTTGTACGATTTGGATGACTGGTTGGAAATCAAGCACTTATTTTATGTCTTCTTTTGAGTTCAGCTTCCCTCCTGGGACTGAACAACAAATGAATTAGATAATATTCAGAAGACAAATATTTATAACTGGCAACCACATAAACTGGAGATGTTAAAATACAAGGGCATTAAATGCTATTTAAGATACTGAAATTATTAAGCCCTAAACTGTCCTTGCAGCAGTGGAACACCAACAAGTGCTCTGTTCATGTTCTGAGTCAGACACCTTTTGACCCTGAAATCGAAAAAAGCCACCTACTTTTATGCAATGCCTCTCACTTCTTACTTTAAAACATCCACCAAGGCATGTTTGAGTCACTGGCTGCATCTTTAAAGATGCTATTAGCTGGCACTCTTGTCCTGTTTAACTGGCAATGATTTCAAACTGCAGAGAATATGTAGCTTAGAAATAAAGAAATTCTTAGATGACATAGAATTTAATGAACTAGCAAAGGCGATATCATCATGCTGGTAGTGATTCACACGTTATAAATGCCAAAATAAACTACGCAATTACCTCGCCTACTTCAGAAAAATGTTTCTTCATCTCTGTAAACTGAAAAATGAGAAGAGGTGTTCTCAGCAGAGAAAAGCATTCAGAGCTCAAGGTTGAGACGAGCTATTTGGAATGCCTGGGGCCTGGATGGGCACTCCAAAGGTAAGAAGACGGCGATTCACAGTCCCATATGAGTACACTGCATTTAGAAGTACTTTGTCATTACGCAGTTTTAACTTGATTTCTATCTGAATAACAGGCCACACGGCTGGGCCTCTGTTATCATCCCCTCGCTTTCGCTATTCATCTTTCTCAATCACTCCCCTTCTCTCTCTCTCTTTCACCCACTCTGCTCCATGCATCCCTATACATCTGGTAAACAGTCGTGTGCGTAGGTGTATGCATGATGACAATTTACATCACAGGTGATGGTTGTTTTTAAGATAGAAGATGGAAAACACAACCAGAGAGGAAGCAGTGTCATGAAGAATCATGGGTCACTTGAGGGGATTTATCAAAGTGGGTTTGTGGAAAGTGGAACCGATGGGTATTCAAAAATCTGTTGGTGCTGCTTGTTTGCTAGTGTTTTAAACTCAATTAGGGCGTCGTTCTTCAGCAGCCCCTTTTCACATTTGAAATTATAGCCATTTCCAACCTATATAGTTCCAGGAACGGTGGAGCCACAGGGCCAAAATTCAATAAGTACAAGTTGCTCTTATGCATTCCTGTTGCATCAAAGGAACTGTGACAATTAGGCAGTTAGTCTGATAATGGAGACAAGACACTAATAAAATATCTAATTAAAATTACATAATAAGCCAAGTTATTGTGCTGTTCTTTACATTCACTGCTGCACAACTCTGACCTTTGCTCAGATGAATGGATGCAAATTCCAGAGATACCTGTCTTCCAAACAGTCTAAGTCCAACAGTTGTATGGTTATTTAATTTTGCTTTAGCACATGATGGCAGTGAAACATATTGTTTGGTTTTTTTATGCGTTCACCCGCCATCCTGCTGTACAGACGTTGTAGCAGTCACAAGGCTTGTGTTTGACCGATGCAAACTCCACCAAAATAGTTCCTGGGCCACTGGGAGGTATTACCCCCAGAGTGGGGACTTTTTGACACCAGGAACTAAAGTCAGAAGAATTAAATTTAGACCTTGCTTCCTCCAGTTGAAACACTGGCAAAATCTCCGGGTTTTTGGAAAACTTCCCGCGGAGGAAACGGGCTATTACTCGTAATTTGTGAGACTTTGGCAAAACCACTTGTGATAAGTGGTCACTGTAATGCAAATGTAAAAGCTATTAGTTGATCGTAGGTTGAATCAATATGTGGCATTAAAGGCTGATAAAGAAATGAAAAGAGGACTACATTATTCATATGTAAAAGTTGTGAATTCTAATTTTCAATTCAGAACAGGATTAGCTTCAGATTATGGTAGAAGACACATTTGAGAATGACATGGGCAGGATTGAACTGTCAGGTTTATGGGTGTGAAGCTAAACACTCATTGATGCATCTGTATTTGTGTGACAAATGATTGCTGCTTCGAGAAAACATGCAACATGAGGACAGACACACACTCTTGATACACACTTAAAGGCAGTGTCTGAGCTCTGTTGTTGCTGTTTTGTTTTACTGGCGTGACAAACAGTGAAAGCCACATTGTCGCTGGCTGACAACTTGTCAAGTTTATAGTCAGGACACTTTCTTCTCTGCGTCTCCTCTAAAGTACCACACAAAGACAGAAGAAACTCTTGCTGATCTGAAACGACTGTTTGTCCTCGGTATTTTCATGAAAAGGATGCCTCTGCGTTTCGAAATTAAATCTGTTATTTTTACTCTCCTGGCTTTTCACATCGACAGCAAAAAAAAAAAAAAGTGTTTTTGGACTTATGTGAGATTAGAAAAATGCCCCAATTATTGTTAGAATTAGTGATGCAAAAATACCACGTAGGTGATGTTAAGACAGGAAAATAAAAGTAATGCAGAAAATGTCCCTTGATGTGATTGATGCCTGCCAAAGAACGACCGACTAAATCTAGTGTGTGTACTTTTCCTCCATTCCTTCCCTGGTGTCGCTCAGATTAACGTCCTCTGAGTAAAGCAGGCAGCCTGATTTCAGAGGCGTATTTCTGTAGAGTTGCTGTGATTGTTACATACAGTGCAACAACAACCGGAGGGACAGAGGCCATTTTGTATAATCCCCAATAGAAGCACACTTCCACATACACAGACATAAAAACTCACATACACAACATTGTTGTTGCTGTAAGATGTTTTTATATCTTAGCTGGTGAAATGGCTCCAGACATTAAACACTGGCCGAGCGCTATGGGCCACTGTTTATATGCACAAACACGCCAACGCACAGACATACATCAATATTGTTATAATGTTTTGGTTGCCTTAGTTTGTCTGGATCTTGAATCCCGACGCACTAAGGCAACCTTAGGCAACAAGACTGCTGCTGCAGGAGTCCAGTATTTGGTTGTGCAGGAAGTGTGGACAGGCCTATTAATGGGAGAAAGATGCGTTTCTTTTTTTTTTCTATAATTCGTATTCACACAATGCTGCTACATTCTCAGATACTTGGAGTTTAATCCCATTATTATTTTAATCTGACATGTCACATTATACTGTCATGGCATTTCACAATCCCACCAAAACAACACATCAACCATAGAGTAGATTAAGTGTTTGAGCTCTAGGTTATGACAGCAAGCTCACTGAAATAAAAGAATCAAATTATTTTAGTCAAACAACCT